AAAAAAAAAAAAAAAAAAAAACGAATTCGGATCCCATGGACCCGACGGGTAAGGAACTTCAACTTCTCCACGAATGTTGCCGAGTTGCACTCAGTGCCAATGTCATCTGTGGACATCCAACGGCCAACGACAACAGAAACAGAAATTTCAGGGGCAGGGGCAGGGGCAGGGGAGGGGGAGGGGGAAGGGGTCGGGCGCTTTTGGAAATTCATTCACGAAACCCGCCACGACTGTCTCCTGCGCTGCCACGGAGGAGGGCCCAAGGAGAAACAGCCGAATTATTCTGAACCGGGCGCTGCTTTATCTTTTCTTTTCGTGTGTGCATGCAAGTTCAAGGTCTGGCCAGGCTGCTATGGGGTTCCCGTAATACTATAATGACAATAAAAAGGCCTGAAAGGCCGTGAATTGAATTGGTTGGGCTTAAAGAATTAGCCTTAAAAAAAAAAAAAAAAAAAAAAAAAAAAAAAAAAAAAAGAAGAAGAAGAAGAAGAAGAAGAAGAAGAAGAAGAAGAAGAAGAAAGAAAGAAAGAAAGAAATACACCCGGGAACGAAAAAAAAAAGAACCTTCTGACAAGACAAGGGGAGCAAACGATTCAGAGCTGGACAAACCCACCTCAAGCCAGAATAGTAGAAACCCTGCATCACGACAATCAGCTTGTGCTGACCTGGGTCGGACGCACTTCACTAAGACAGCTGCAGATCGACCCGCTGGCCTGGAGCTGGGTCAGATCGATGCCTGACAATCCTAACGATGCGCTAATTATCCTTTCGTAGTATAACTCAAGAACAGGCTACGAGCTGGCAAACAGACCGCCCAGAAGACCGTCTGCAGTGCGTCTGCAGTGGCAGTATCCAGATGGTCGGCGGTATTGGGAAGCAACTGTCCAGTCACTACTGCTCAGTTTGAGCTCCTGTGGAAGACACTCTGCCCTCTCCCAAACGGGAAACAGGTAAGTATACTGTGGATACTGTCCTTGATGGTAACCCCTTCCGCAGTCTGGTTGCTGGGTCGAGGAGTGGAAGTTGAACTGGGATGCTCCAGATGCTGTTGGCCTTTTGAGGCCACGAGGCACCTCTGGTGGGAATGCCCGGCCTCTAAACGTGTCTGGTTGTGGTGGGCCAGTCACTGGAAAGAGATGGGAGCTGGGAAACTGGACTGGAAGAGCACTGGGTACTCCTTGGTTTCTTGCCTAATGGTATGCAAGGGAAGAAGGGGTGGGGTTATATCGCCCACATGACAAGGGGCATAATCTGTGAAGTTATTTGGGCAGACAGAAACAGGGCGAGGTTCGATAAATGCCCCTTGTCAGACGTGGAGATCAAGAGAAGGATCAAGGCTGGGCTGAAACACGCCATCAGAGCTGATTGGAGGAGAAAAACGAAAGCTTGGAAGGGAAGCAGGAAACAGAAACTCTGGTTCTTGCATACACGGGGCCGCGGTAATCAGCTGGCTGCAGTTCACTCCAGCCGTGGGTTAACTATCTCTAGTTGGATCATGGACCTGGGTAGGAATAGCAGAACAGATAGGCTCTGGTTGGGGGAAAAGAGTCCGGTGATGAACTGATTACTGAGGTCCCATAGGGTAGATCAACCAGGGCACTCGGTTGGATAGGGCCGCTGTGGGCCACTAGGAGAGGGCCAGTAGGCTTGGGACGAAGTCCTCTGGGCCGAGTTAGTCTCAGAAGTAGTACAAGATTAGGCCAAACCAGGGGTACCACCTGCATCTGGGTAATGCATTTGTGTAATTACTATCAAGAGTAAGAGGCTATTCGGTTTAAGCGTAGTTGTCACTCTCAGAGGATAGAGGAATTTCTATCAGTCTGTAGTTGGGCAGGTAGTTGCCCCGGTTCTGTAGTTGGTGAGTAAACTAAACGCCCATTGAAAGAGTGTCTGGCACCTCTGATAGAAAAGCTAGGAGTTTCAAGCAGTAACAAAAGCATGAAAGTTAATGAGAAGGAAAGTGAAAACCCTTGTTGCAGTACAGTTCTTAGAGACTGTCAGTGTTCGGTTCACGGGGAGCCAGGCTATTTCCCATCACAGGTAGGAGTTTTTCTTTTTTCAGTTCTGCTTCAGGTAGGAGCTAAGTATGGTGCGAACTTTGGGCCCCATGAGGGTGGCAGGGTAAAGTTTAGAGGGAGTGGTTTCTACCTGTTGATAGGTAACAGTAGGGGTGGGAGTGGATATTATTTCGAGACTGAGATCAGATGTGTAGGTTGCTCTGTTGTGCAGAATCTCTGGCTTCTACGTGATATAAGCTAAACCGGCTGATGCTGCCGGGATAACTCCGGGTTGAATTGTGAGGTCCCCGGCCTCGTTTTGAGATATTTGCAATAACACATGAGTTGTCTTCCCGAAACAAAAAAAAAA